AAAGACAAATATATATCTCAACGACTTGCAAGCAGGTTTGGTAATGCTAGTTTGATTTAGATAAATGCAACTGAGAGATATAATTGTTGCCACCAACCAAATGCTAGCAAACAATATTATTTTTTAACAACAATCACCCATATCTAACTGGTTTTTTTCTTACTGTTGGCTAATTTTGTTTATGCAGGGCAACCGTTTATCTATATAGTGACATATATGAGGATATATTTGAGGATAAATATGTCCCAATGTGTACTTTGTAAGTACCTCTAATCCACATTTTGTTCAATTAATTTATAAGAAAAAAATATTTATTAATCGGATTCATATAAAATTAAATGAAAGAATATTTTAAAATTAAATAAAAAAATTTTAAATTATATTATTTCCATATATTTTATTAAAATAAACTAAAACATTTTAATTTTTAAAGTAAGATTTATTTTAATTTTTTATTATTATCTTATTAAAATCACATAATTTTAAATGTTTTCTCTATATTATATATGAAGCAGGCATAAAATTTGATTAGACAAATGCAACTCGGATATATAATTGACTAAACAACAATCATTCCTACATAATTTGTTTTTTTTTTATTAAATTTCTTCCATTACAATAAGTTAATATCATTTTTTTCAAAATTTTATGATTAATAGCACTGTCTGTCCTTCGTATTTTTGAAAAGGTTCAATGTCATCATTTATTCAACTCCTAAAATATGCAGTTGTCCCTGAAATGTTTTTCATCTCCTTTATTAAGTCCTTCCATTAAATCTCAATTACTTGAAGTTAATGCATGGTTTATTAAGTCATTGATGGAATTAACTGCACACAATAAGTGCCTCTCAATAATTATTTACGAAGCATGAATATTATGATTGATTATTAACAAAAGGTTTATCTAACCTATGCCCTTAATATAATTATTACACTTTTTACATTAATTATTATTAAAAAATATAAAAACTGTCATTGATTTCATTAGTAGTAGCATGTGAATCATTTGAATTAGACAATTACTTAAAAAAGATTATCTTTCATTTTTTATAATAATAATTAATGAGAAAAAAGTGTAATAATTACACCTTTGGGGTACAAGTTAAAAAAAAAACCATTAACAAATGGTTTACACCTTTTGTAATTAAATTAAATTGTATGAAAAATATAAATGTTAATTTTGATTTATTTAATTAGTCAATTAAAATTTTACACTAACCAATTGTACTAAAATAAAAATCAATTTTTATATTTTTTAATGTAAATTAATTATAAAAATATATTTATTATACCTTTAATTTGTGAGACAGGAAAAGGTTAAATAAATACATTAACAAAAGAGAAAAGATTAATTACTAAGGAGAAAACCACACCGCCGAAAAAAAAGGGGAAAATACTAATGCTTGCTTTCTTACAACAATCCTTCTCTCAATAGCTATTCTTAAAGGTTGAACATAAGCACTCTAAAATTCAAATGTCAGGAAACAGAGCACACAATACAATATATACATCTTTTGAGATTAATATTTATTAGTTAGATTTACTAAAAGGATTAAACAAAAAATGCGAAACTACATCTTTTCTATAAAGAATCACACACATACACACAAAAAAAAAAAAAGAGATTAAAACAATCTTATTCCTTTATAGTTTCAAAATTAGGATATTTTATTTTTTTTACAATAAAAATTTATTAAAATGACATAATTTTAAATTATTTTGCTATTTAATTTTTTATAACTTTGATTGATAAACATTTTTCTTCGAATCTTTTACCTAAATTAAAAAAAAAAAAAAACACACGCATACACACAATATATAAATTAATATTATGTTATGACGAAAAAAATAATATTTTTTTTTGCACAGTTATTGTTGCGTTTTGCGTGGATATTGTTTGGTTATGGATCTTATGGCATGGAGCAATAGCTATTCTTGGAATTCCAAGTTTCATCATATTTTTAGTCTTTAAATGGAGGAGAAGGCATTTATCTATGTATAATTCTATCGAAGAATTCTTGCAAAGCAACAATAACCTCATGCCTGTTAGGTATTCTTACTCCAAAATCAAGAAAATGACCAATGGTTTTAAGGAGAAATTGGGTGAAGGAGGTTTTGGTCAAGTTTACAAAGCAAAGCTTCAGAGTGGTCGCCTTGCAGCAATAAAGATATTGGGCAAATCAAAAGCTACAGGGCAAGATTTTTTCAATGAAGTTGCTACCATTGGAAGAATTCACCATGTCAATGTGGTACAAATGATTGGCTTTTGTGCTGAAGGATCAAAACGTGCCCTTGTGTATGACTTCATGCCTAATGGTTCTCTTGATAAACATATTTTCTCTACAGAAGGCAATATTGCAACTTTGGGTTGGGAAAATCTATACAAGATTTCTCTAGGAGTGGCTCATGGAATTGAGTATTTACATCGAGGTTGTGATATGCAAATCTTGCATTTTGATATCAAACCTCACAACATTCTTTTAGATGAAAACTTCACTCCTAAAATCTCTGATTTTGGTCTTGCAAAGTTATACCCAGCCAAAGGTAATACTGTGTCCTTGACTGCAGCAAGAGGAACTCTAGGATATATGGCACCTGAGCTATTTTACAAAAACTTAGGAAGTGTTTCTTACAAAGCTGATGTGTATAGTTATGGGATGTTATTGATGGAAATGGCTAGCAGAAGAAAGAATGTGAACCGATTTGCAGAGCATTCGAGTCAAATCTACTTTCCTTCATGGGCATCAGAGCAATTGAATAAAGGAATGGGGTTGGAAATAAGAGAAGCCAATGAAGATGAAAAGAGAATTGCAAAGAAAATGATCATTGTAGCCTTGTGGTGCATACAGATGAAGCCAATTGATCGCCCTTCAATGAACGAAGTCATAGAGATGCTTGAAGCAGAACTCGAGAGCTTACAAATGCCTCCCACCCCTTTCCAGCTTTATCCTCATGCAACACAACAAGATGATGTTACAGAGAAAACCTACCTCACAACATCTACTAGTTTTTCTTCATGCAATGATATAGAGATTGAGTCAATTACTTTACTTGGAAATGAAAATTAAGTGGGATGGTAGTGAAGAATCTTGTATTTGTATTAGATTAGCTTCCTTTACAGCATAACCAAGGCAATGAGTTTGGTCTTGCACTAGTATGTGTATGGCAACCTAATAGTTATGTATATTTTGAAGTGCATGAACTAGTTCTAATTATTTTGCCTATAAAATCAATTGAAGGATTCACTAGAGTTAATTTTTATTTTTCAAAACTTAATTAAACTTCAATTTGAATCATGTATCTGGAGTTCATTTTTTCTTCATTTTCTGTCTCTATAAAAGCTAATAATCCTGAAGATCTAGTTAAGCTCCCAGCAAAGAAGCCAACATAACCATGACTTTTGAAAATTTTGGAGTAGAAAAAATCAGTTGTATGGTTGCACCACTTTCATTTCCCTCAATAGGATGTGATGGCCAATATTCTTGAACTTGCCAAGAAATTGAAACCCGAGCTTAATTGGTAATGTACACAATTGACTTTGAAAATTCTCATGTGGAAAAAATCAGTTGTGGGGTTGCATCAGTTTCATTCCTTTTAATAGCATAATATCTGACTGCGATAGTCGGTGTTTCTGAAGTTGCCAAGAAATTGAAACCCAGTCATTATTTGGTGAAGCACATTTATGTAATTGACTTTCAAAGTTCTCATGTAGAAAAAAAACAGTTGTGGGGTTGCACCATCTGTTAGTATTAAACTGAGCAAATACTTTCTCATCTCTGCTTGTCTTCTTATGGCTTGAACAAGGCTCCTTATTGCAACCCTTCTTCTTGCCCATTCTCGTGAAAATTGCAGTGCCAAAGCAAGCCTTCAATGTCCAGCTTCTTCTTGTGGCAATATTCTGAATATTCATCATCCTTTCCCATTAAGCATCGATCCACCAAAATGTAAAGACCCAGAGTATAATCTATTCTGCCAAAACAATATTGTTACAGATTTGCACCTTAATTTAGGAAAGTTCTATGTGCGGGAAATCAATTAATCACTCAATGATCAGAGTTGTGGATCCTGGTGTTCGTCAAGGTAACTGTTCCTCACTGCCTCTGTATTCCCTTGGCATTGATAAGGTCACAAGAGACAGTGATCCATATTACTTTCATCCTGAAGAAGCTCTTCTTTTCTAAATTGTGGAAAACCAATAAATGATATTCGCTATGTGGATGCTTCCTCTTGCATTGGTGCTACTAATTCGTCCATATCTAAGAAGGTATTATTATGCCGAGATTCGAAGAACAATAGAAGTTGAATTAGAGAAGTCATGCCGGATTGAGCTAATGGTTCTTTGTTCTTCAAGAGGGATGAGTGATAACAACATTACCTACCTAAAATTTCACCATCAGTTTTTATATGGATTTGAGCTTTGGTGGTTTCCCTACCCTTCTATGTGGATTGGTACATAACAAACATATGTTGCCTGTTGATTAAACTCATGCAAATGCAACTTGCTAATTTTGGGTCTTTTTTTTAACGAACTGTATGCAAATTTAATGTCTTGCTTCTCTCTGATTTTGGTTTCTGGTATATTTTGCAGTTTTGGTCATGCATTACACTTATTTATCCTACACAGCACTTGTATTAGGTAATTAGAACCTCTCCATGTTGAAGCTATTGTTTTTCATTTATCCATGTTGCACGTCTTGAATCATGAAGCATGAAAAATTCAAATACATGTGATGAGATTATAAGAAAATAACATTAAGACTCCAGGAGAAGCATGCAATATTTATCGGATGCTTTATTTGATAACCAATTATATCAATATATATCTTTTTTACCTCACCGGTGTACTTTATGGGGTAGCATCTGCTTTTGCAGTTCCAAGCTTCATTTTGTTTTTGTCATATAAATGACAAAGAAGGCATTTATCTATATTCTATTGAAGAATTCTTGTAGAGTAACAATAACCTTATGCCAGTAAGGTATTCTTACTCAAATATCAAGAAGATGACCAATGGTTTTAAGGAAAAACTGGGGGAAGGAGGTTTCAGCAAGGTTTATAAAGCAAGGCCTAAGAGTGGTGGTCTTTATGAAGTCAAGTTATTGGGCAAATCCAAAGTCACAAGCTAAGATTTTTTCAGTGAAGTAACAACAACCGGAAGAATTCACCATGTCAATGTGGTAAAACTTATTGGCTTTTGTGCTGAGGGTTCAAACTGTGCTCTTGTTTATGACCTCATGCCTAATGGTTCTCTTGATATTTTACTAGAGAAGAAATTACAACCTTGGGTTGGGAAAGACTATACAAGATTTCTCAAGGAGGGACTTGTGGGATTGATTGATTATTTACACCAAGGCTATGATATGCAAATCTTACATTTTGACATCAAACCTCACAACATTCTTTTAGACGATAACTTCATCCCAAAAATATCTAATTTTGGTCTTGCAAAATTATATCCAACAAAAGATAGCATTGTGTCCCTAACTGCAGCAAGAGGAACAGTAGGATACATGGCACCTGAGTTGGTCTATAGAAACATTGGAGGTGTCTCACACAAGGTTGATGTCTATAGCTTTGGAATGTTGTTGATGGAAACAGCCAGTACGAGAAGGAATCTAAACCCATATGTAGAGCATTCGAGTCAAATTTACTTTCCTACATGGGTTTCTCAACAATTCAAAAAAGGAATGGAGCTGGAAATAACAGAAGCCACAAAAGATGAAAAGAGAATAGCAAAGAGAATGATTATTGCGGCTTGGTGGTGTATACAGGTGAAACCAAGTGACCATCCTTCGATGAACAAAGTGGTGAAGATGCTTGAAGCGGATCTTGAAAGTTTAGAGATGCCTCCTAGGCCCTTCCAAATGTATCCATATACAACTGAAGAAGATGATGCTAAAATGAAAACCAACTCCACAGAGCTTTCAAGCTCATCATATGATGATATAGAGATAGAATCAAAATCAGTCAGTTTGATTGAAAATGAAAATCATGCGAAAAGGATGCAGAGAAGCCTAATTAAGTAGAGTTTTCTTTATTCAAGAGTTACACAAAAACAGGAGGTATCCATCCCCTTTTGCTACCCACTTCTCACCCCACCTAGATGTCACAATGGCTCTAAATTTGCATCATGTTTTTTGGTGTTCAATTCTCAAAAAATGGTTAATTTTCTTTCTTTCCAATTGATTAATTAACTGCATTGCACCGACAGAGACACACAAGAAAGAACACAAATAAAAACTAATAAATTGTAATTGGCATATATTACCTGAGGCATTAAGGCATCCATCCCATTGAAAAAAATCAAGCATTGTTGTCCTAGGCAAATGCATAATTCGAAGTTGACCTGAGAGATTAAAAAACATTCAGATGTGATGAAATGGGATTACACTCAATGCGAAATTTGTTAGGGTATTATTTACATGACTCACTTGGAAAAATCCTGCATATCAGAATCAAGAATCAAGCTCCATCCATGGGTGATGACTGTACCTTCCTAATGCATCAATCAATTCATCCTTAAATAATTGAATGTGATAGTCGATTCTCTTCATAGGAAGAAAAGGAACTCCGGATTGCATTGGGGTTTCCTGGACGTTAGTTGTAAAAAAAGGGGTTGGAGAGAGAGATGTTGAATTTGGGTAGAAGGAGAAGAAACGGAACTGGGAGAGTGAGCAACGGAGAAGGAGAAGTCGGGAATCGCAGGAAACTAGAGATTTTTCGGTGAAAGGTGAACTTTGCACGAGGGGCATTTGCAGCAAGCCAGCAATCCAGTGTGTCTCGGGAGACTCGGAACCAATTTGTGCAGGATAATAATCCAAGAAAAAAGTAAAGCAGTTAATTGTAATTTTGC